TGCATTTAGCATGTATTTTTCCCTACCCAACAATGAAACAACAACAACAACAAAAACCCCAAAACCAGAAAACATGAATCTTAACATTAAACACCTGACCTAACTTCAAAGTTAGCCCCTGCTTTGAGCAGGAGGTTGGACCAGATGACATCCAGAGCTCTCTTCCAACCTGCATAATTCTTTGATACTACTTCTTGCTTATTGTAGATTCAGGACTTGTCTGTTGTGTGTGGTGACTGGAGAAAAGCTGCCACTATTAGATTTGCACGTACAAGTCCTAAACCTGTGGGCTGCTTAGCAGGCAATAACCCTTGCCTCTGCACACAGCTTCATCGAATTCAGCTTGTAGGATTATACTTAAAAGCCAAATAATTGATAAGGAAAGAAACTTGTAGTAGAACTCCTAAAATCTCATATTGCAGTTTTATTATCTACTTAGTGTCTACTGATACTTTGTCCTGCACACTATTGCAATTTCTTCTATTTGGGTGAGGAAAATACTGATAGATCTCAAGGACCTCTTTGAAGAGCTTCCAGCGAAACAGACTTGGCATTGCTGATAAGCTTGAAGTTGAAAGAAAACAAAAGATTATACCAGAAGCAAATCCTCCCCTCCATTCCCTTCCTTCCACCTGCTATCTTTTTACCTTACTCTCTGCAACAAAAGCAAGTCCCAACTTCTAGATTTTTCTACATATTTTACAGCATCAAAATATTTAATTGAATATTTCAGAATAAAACATACCTGAAGCTACTGGTATGTTACAGCCAGCAGCCTTTAGGGCATTAACAGCATCGATGACTCTAGCAGGATATACACAAACCGCTCCAACAGTAATACCTGCAAAAGCCACAGTTCACTTTTTCATATGATAGATTTCCACCTTCTCTGGTGCAATCCTCTCCGGTGCAGTCCATATTATGAGCATGTGTGCTCATAATGTTTGCACCTCCCACTTTTGCATTCTCACAAGGATTTTAAGCACCTACAGCAGGGAAATCCTCTCTGGTGCAGTCCATATTATGAGCATGTGTGCATTGTTTGCACCTCCCACTTCTGCATTCTCACAAGGATTTTAAGCACCTACAGCAGGGATCTCTCTTTTACTGTTCAAGCAGTTCAGGTGATTCTCCATATTGTTACCTCCCTCATGTTCTTTCACCTGACCCTGGGAGCAATTCTGCATTAGCAGGAATTAAAACGCCAAGATTTTTATCGACAGATTCACTGTTTAATGCCACCATGTACAGTTAAGACATGCTTAGTCAGCAAACTACTGTGAGAGAAACCGCACTGCCAAGCTCTGTCCTTACTTGTTGAGCCAGACTGAGCCCAGCAGCAACTGAGCAGTCTTTATGTTAATGCAGTCCTACTGCATTTCTAGTTAAAATGCTATTCTCTCAAAGTCTCAGATAATTGACCTCATATTTAATACTTCAACTGTTTGAAGAGTCCATAAATCCAAGCTTTAAAAAAAGACTAATCTTTGATATTTTATGTGTATGGCTTAAAACCAGAGGCCTGATTCCTCTTTGGATTTACCTCACATGACTTCAATCCGTGGACCAATGCCCATGTAAAACTGAAATATTTTAATAGTAAAAGCATGCCCCAAATGTCACTGATTTTGTTTTTGATAGATCATCATAAGGCCAACATGACAGGACAAAAGTCAAATGCTATTCACCGACACATCAGTGATTACATCTGGAAAAATTCAGAAGAGTTGCTCAGATATAAAGAGGTTTTATTGATAGTTATATTGACAGTCTCAATTTGCTCTGAAGTTGAATCGTGTTCAGTCTTGGGTGTAACATTGGGAATTCAGATGGAGCCTGCTTGAGTAATATCAATGAAAGTTTTACCACCAGTTCTTAAGGGCTGTCTTCTGCCCCGTCAACTCTGTTGACTTAGCTGGGAAGTGTGTGTAAGTGTGTGCGTGTGTGTACACGCGTGCACGTGAGTGTGTACATATGTGATATGCACACAACCACATACACTCACTGCAGGACTGATTCCTTAAAGTAGACTGGGCTGCAAAGATGTCTCCTATCTTAACTACTGAAACAAGCAGGTCACAGGTAATGTTTTCCAAAGCAAAAATAACATGCTTAGGACTGTGGAATGCATCTTTTCTGGCAGGCAAAGCAGCAGGCTCGGTAGTTACATACAGCAACAGCAGCTAAGTATGAAATCCAAAGGAGTCACACTCCCCACTTCTCCAACTTAGTAAGGACATCAGCAGATTAACAGAATACTCAATTAGTTTCACCTTTGTGCACTGTTATTAAAAGACATTCACTGAGGTTACACACTTGTGGCTTCCATATCAAATTTGCTCATCAGGTATCATAACTTACAGTGTTGCCCTGAGTCCGTGCTTCACTTTGATTGCCAAACTGAGAATGGACTTTTTTTGCCTTGTATAAGTTAATATCTTAATATAAGATATTAACTGAAAGGAATAGATATTTTGCAGTTAGAACTTAAGACAGTTGCTTTGAATAAGGCCATACGGGACCTAGTTCGCTCTCTCAGGACTATTAGCTCTGCAGCGCTGCCTACCATAACTGCTTCCACTATAGAAAGAGGAGGCCGTTTTTACACGTCTCTGAAAATTGAAAAAATACTGAGGAAATGCAGACATTTTCTCTACACAAGACACACAACAAAACCAATCGTACCTTTATCATGCATATCCAAGGCTTTCAGCAGGTCCTCTCTGATGGGATGCTTTGCTTTAAAACACAGTCTGTGAACATTTGAAGGAGTATCATCGCCTGAAAGAGTGGTAAGGTCTATGCAGGTGACAGCTTTCAGCAGCCAAGCAGCCTACACAGGGAGTAAGCGAGGAATACAGTATTTCAGTTTACACTTCCAAAACCAAACTGATTTAGAAGATGCAGGAATCAGAAGCCTGGCTCTCACTCTAAGAATAAGGAAACGTTGGGATATAACATAGAGGATATGTAAAGAATGGTTTATGACAGACAGGGATGGCAGATATTTGTTTATGTCTTGAGCAGTATCTAATGGCACAGAAAGGATTTGGAATCAAAAGTCAGCTCTCTCAAAGGATCGAATTCCAATTTTTGGTGCAAAAGCTAACTACCAAATGGGACTCCAAGACTCAGACAAACATTTTTACCTGGACAAAAAGCATCTTGTTTCAAATTCAATTCTATAAGACAAAGATAAAAACATCACCTATGTGAGGAACCTCACTGTCATAATATGCTCCGTTCTATATAGTATGTCTGTACCTGCAAAGCTTGCATGCACAAAAAATTATACACGTGCTTCAAGAGGAGCACAGGTTTGCAATTGCCAATAACCAGATAAGTGTACACATCAGCAATTTGCACACTTGCATGTTTGCATGCTTCTCCTGCTGTAAGAGTGAAACGTGGAAACAGTGGGGGGGAAGAACCCAGACTTCTTAAAACTTAGGGTCTAGACTCTAGATGTTTCCACTTTCTTTTGTGTGAATCAGGAAAAAAAAAAAGTGTAATTATTTGGTGCAAAAAACAAAAGCAAGAGCTAAGTGACAGGGCTAAAGCACTCTTTAGATGAAAATGCTATGGAATTTTAAAAGACTAATTGGAGAATGGAATGGAACAGAAGCACAACTAAATATTTTTTGAGATTTTTTGCTGAACAAAAATTGAGCTTAAGACATTATTTTGAAATATTTGTTGAAGATCTTCCAGCAAATTCTCATTTACAGTGATGGCTTCACTAAAAGCTGACATCTCTTAGTGGACACTTGTTCAACAAGGGGAGAGTTTGCAACAGCAAAGTCCACTTGAGTCCGTGAAGTCCCTCCCTGACTGCTCTGTGACACGATTTGTCAGTATAGGCAGCAAAATTTGCTGTTTCTTCATACAGGTATTACTCTGCAAATCTGAAGATGCTGGCCAGCCTACAAACCTTTCACACTTCGCTGATGGGAGTGTCCCTTCTGAACTTGCAGTAAATGTTACACTGAAAGCTACTTCGGTGTGACTAAACACAGAATGAACCGTTACTGGCCTCTGTTAGTCTAAGCTTGACTGCTTGTTTCTAACTGGTTTCTACTTTCACCCTATAATACATCAGAAGGGTTTTTCACTTTAAATGGTTTTAAGTTTCTTTTACTTGGATTTTTATATCCTTCACTTGAGGGAATTTTTGTCCCATCTCTTATAACATGAATCATAAAGTCATCAAGACAGATGTAGTCACGGAGTTCCAAGAACTGGTATGAACTTCATTTTTTTTAAAAGGGTTTTTCAAATGAGTATTTTGGGAAACGGGCTTCAAAATTTGAATCTGTGGTGCTACTTACATTCAAACATGTAAAGGTTCAGAATCATCTCTGTGAAATAAATAGCACATGACTATCATGACTGCAACGACAGCGTTCAAATACAGGAGAGATGCTTCTGAAAATCTCTTGGCATTCTTCAAAGTAAAACCTCACTCGAGTAGCTCAGTACCAGTGTTACTACACAGGAGAGTGAAGGAGTGTTAGTAATAATTAAACATTTGTCCTACAGCCATGTTGAGGGAGTGACACGAAATCCCTTTCTTCCCAATGATTCTTTGTAATCAAAGCCTGTGGCTCTCTATTCCTTTGTTCTTTATATAGTAACTTCTGTCAAATCAGAAGACTTACTTTTTACATTACTGCACCTGCAGTATCTGAAGATAGCCAAGGTTATGGAATACCCTCTGGATTTTCTCACTGACACTATTTCCCAATCCAGAGCCACTGGACTGCTAAACTTGGTATCACAGTATCATAGAATAGAATCACAAAATAGTTTGGGTTGGAAGGGACCTTTAAAGGTCACCTAGTCCAACCCCCCTGCCGTGGGCAGGGACATCTTCAACTAGATCAAGTGACTTTTTATGTGTAAGAAACTCTTGGGAAATGCTGAGCTAATGTCTAAATTTCCTCAGTTTATGTCCATTTTTTATGTAATCATAACATTCAAAGCACAGACTTTCAGGTTCATGTAACAGGCAGGAAGTTGTTTTCTATCACCTTCCAGTAGGATCTCACACAGCTACATCACATTATCCCCAAACTGTCATCCACAAGATCCGTGCTCATTGCAAACGCAGCTTCAGCCACCCCAGAATGGCTGCCCAACATGCTAAGCTCAGGATACCAACTATTTTGAACAGTTTTTTGAAGAATTAAGTATAAGATTCTTGCTTTGTTCTACTAGGTTGGACTGTTAAGATTGATCCTTGAGTGTCTCCTTCCTCCTGCTTCCACGTTAACAGTTACTGTTGCAAGTAAACAATTTGTTTAGCATGCAGAGGGGAGGAATCACACACATTTGCTTGCAGAACAGCTGTTTGGTGAACGAAGAATCAACTTGTCCTTTGGACACCGGTTACAGCCCCATGGCTGAGAGCTCGCTGGGAGCTCTGGGTCTGCTCCACAGCATTTCTCAGATCTTGCCCTTGGCTGAACGCTGTCGAAGTACTGACAGCATCCTGCAGCCAGCTCTGCCTGCCGTTCCCTTCTCAGCGCTTCCCGTTCTGCCACTGAGGCAGCAGAAACCAGCACATGGCTGTGCCTCGCCTGCTCTGCTTTGCAGAAGGTAGTAGCTTACATTGCTGACCTAATGGCTTTGCATTATGATTCTGATGTACAAACTGGAGAAACCAAAATGCACACCAGGCCAGTATCTGCCGGTTCTGCCAGGGGGGCAGTAAACAGCAGAGGCTGACTGACTGCTAAGACGTTAAACGTGTGTGTTCAATGAATACAAGAGAGCCTTGAAGAAAAGTTCATTTTCACCACTGGCTTTAGCAGTGGCTTACATGAACCTATTTTATACTAAGATGTACAATAACTGATCATTTACCTTACCTCAGGAGTTAAGAAAGCCCCCTTAACATTAGTAGCCTCTTTTTTTTCTTTCTTCTTTTTTTTTTTTTCCTCCTTTCTCCCCCCCCCCAGTGCCATAGCCAGTCAGGATTTTTGAGTTTTAGGTAAGAACTAGTTAAGCAAAGAAATCACACATGTTGGGGATTTTTAAGTAAAGAAAAATCATCCAGGTAGGTCAAACTTGACAGGGACCACGATCATATCTTACAGCTTTAAAATTAAAAAATAAGAAGGCAGCGTGCAGAGAAGTCTGTCTGGGAAACAGAATAAATGTGGTGGGATAGTAACATACAATTTAATCCACTCATGAATAAAGATGACTTAAATTCATTTGTGGTTTTGCCACTCGTGAGTTACAAGGTTTTTAACTTGTTTGGATAAATGCGTCACCTTATTCCATCCCATCATCATCAAATACAAATTATTAAAATAAGACATGGACAAGCACATCTTTTAAGGTTACATGCATCTTGAAAAAAATTCAATATTGCAGCCTGGAGAGGGAGAGTGACTGCTTTAAAAATACAGGAACAGAATGCATAAAAAGAGCACTTACTTGCCAATTACCTTTCACAGTTCTCCATTTTTTAATTCGTTCTGCATGCCTCACAACTGCAGGTCGATTCACATGCACTTTTGAGATCCAGCCAAGTTCTGGGTTGGGAAAAAAAAGAAGAAAAAAAAGTCTCATCTATTTGTGTGTTCTTTTAACATACGGCGTGGCACTTCAGAAGAAAGTTGTAGCTTAGTTTGGGACCTCTGAAGAGCACGTTGTGCTTTTCTGTCCTTTTAAGGGCTTGCATATTTATCACCAGTCCAAAATACCATAATAGTATTAACTTCTGTTAGGGTATGATCTGTGAACTGGATGTTTCACACAGCGTGTTTTGTTTGCCATTACAACTGAATTAACTTACTGCTGATGAGAGACACTATGTTGCCAGTCCTGGACTATGAAGTTTATTAGACATGTAGCATACAAAAAAACCCCACAAAACAGCCTTCTGCCATTGCTTGCCGATTTACTTCTTGATTCCAGAATATGGTAACATTCATTCAGTCCTTCGCTTGTCTGCTGGCACCCAGGATACAACAGCATTTTTTGTGTGCGTTAATCTTTGTTTACAGGAACTGTATCCCACACAGGCACCAAAACCTCTGGACAGACCCTTGCGTAACAAAGCATTTGCGTTGTTATTGTCTAGAGCTAATTTTACTGAATTTGCTACTAGGGCCTGACTAACTGCAAGTTTCCAAAAGCACTGAATTCCTGGGCAACATATCTGCCTGGAAGCTGCTGAGATGCATGCTGGCCTGAGAAGCGCTCACCTTGCCAAGCACCGTGGAGGACTCAGGGCAACATCTTCATCGTTTGAATTCCTTCACATGCCCACTGCAGACAGCCTGGCTCACAATTTCAAACGAGTTTCACTATCCATAAACAATAACCAGACCAAAAGAGAAGCAGATACTCAACGTTTACTAAAATAATGTAACTGCCTAAAAATAGAAGCACCAAAAATTGGACACTGCTTAATGAAGGGTAACTGACTGATAAAGGAGAACTGAGGGTTCAGGCCCTTGAATCTTGGAATTTCTGCTTAGTATGATAAACCAAAAGCATAATTTTGAATGTTAATAAACACAAACTGCTCACAGAAGTACACAGGAAAAAGAAATGAGATCATCTTTAAAATCTCTCATGACCAAAACATAAATAATTCTTCTAAACACTAATCATATAAGCAATCCATTGAAATACTCTGAAGACATCATCAACAATCATTAACCACCAATCATCAGCAAATCACCACCATCCATCATCAAACACCATCATCAGTTAAGGTCAGTATATGGATATGGGCTCAGATACTAAGAGTTATTAATACTGGGTGACTTAATTTATTAAGAGCATCTCATCTCTACGAGTCTTCTTCACTACTGTATTAAACTTGCATTTCCCTCGAGCACATTGATTGAAAAAGGTTTAAAACTTTAAAAAAAGCAAATAGCCAAAATCATTAATTTTGTACAGAAATCTTATCCTCAAATTTTTTCCTTCCTACTTTATAGTTTTAATAGCCAAAAAAAGTGCAGAACTAATATACTAGCTAAAGTATGTGTAAATACAAGCTTGTTTTCCTAATTAGACTTAAAAAAAGCTCTGAAGAAACCAATTTAGGGTAAAGATGACTCAGTGGAAATGCAGGACAAAGGCACGAAACACAGCTAAATGACATCTTGTTCTGACCACAGTAAGAGACCTTGCTACCACTTTCCTTTTACCACATACAAGCAAGGTCAAAATGTTGGCCAAAAGCAAAAAAAGTTAAACCAAAGAAGGAATTTCAAAGGAATCCTAAGGAATTTAAGGATTTCTTTAAGACTTTAGCATCAGTCTCGCTGTATGGCAAAAATGAAAAGGAGGACCTTGCAAAGTTGCAAACCAGTCAAACCACAAACCCTCATTACTTCCCTCCACTTTCAAAGCCACAGGCTTATTCATTCTGCCCCAAAAGCAGGAAGCTCAACTGACATGTAGAAAGCAGGTGAGAAAAGCTATTGCTACTAAACCCATGGCTAGAACTTTCCTTCTTTTTGAATATCAATAAACGCAAAACATATAAACAAAGACAGCTGAAATACAAGCTAGTGAAACCTCTACGTCCTCCGCAGTTGCTTCAAGGTTGAGGCTCCTGTGTGATCAGTAGACAGCACACATCACTTCCCATGGGGCCATTATAGGCAATATTTGACACAGTCCACGGGGGAGGAAAACACAAATAAATAAACAAACAAACCACAAACTCGATGTTGTGATTCTCCTACTATATGCCAAGTGCTCAGGTGGAATCCTTTAATCATAATCCCATTCATGAAGATAACTTTTGAGCGTGGTGACCTTTCAGTCCCTTGGGAAAACGTGATAAAATCAAAGCGAGCAGTTTAGATGAGGTACTCAGCTTCTTGCTCTCTAATACAGATCCAGAAGCTTCAGTTACTCTACCCTAACCTATTCTTTCTACATTATGAAAAACAACCAAGAAATCCAACTAAATAATTAATTTATAAAAACTACTGCCTTCTATAGAAGAGTTAGGAAGACTATGGAGACAGCACCCAGTTTGTTAAACATGGAAAATTTTCATCTTCTTGGTTCTTGGGGCATAAGCCTGAATTTAAGTGAAAGAACCAAAATTTCCCCCATGAGCAGGTTAACCCTTCACTACTTATTATTTGGAGCAGATTCAGTCTGATTCATCTTGTGCTGGACTTTGGCAGAAACATACTGTTATTGTATCTGCCCCTACCTGACTTTTCAGCATAGCTTCTCAGAAGGCCTGAGTAATCTCTGCAGGAAACGGAACGCTGCGCACTAGATGAGCTTAAAAGCAGCAGTCAAGTGTAAATACCCTTTGCAAGGGGCGGCGGGGGGGAGGAGGGTTGGGGAAGTAATGTTTAAGAAATTCACAATCAATGGGAGAAAAGAGGGGGAAGAATAGTGGAAGTGAAAAAAAAGCTACAACTTTTGCTAACTCATCTTTGCCCAAAGTCACCTGTGAAAGTTACCATATATCAGCTGATCAGCAATAGCTGATTGCATGTTCTTAGTTCTTTGCAAATATGATGAAATTCATTGGCTTAAGCCCTTTTCACTGTGTAACACATTTTACCTTCTGTTTTTAATAACTCCAGACTAGTCATGAAGGTAGCTGACACATGGCAACTCAATAAGGTGCAATAGCTAATTTTTGTGCCTGACACGCAAGTTTCCTTGAAAGACCATAGAATTTGGATCTCCAAGTATATTTTTGAATGTGGGATATTGAACCACTGTGCACAGCAGGGGCAGAAAACTTAAAAAAAAACCTTAAATAATTAAAAGGAAATCAGAACTCCATCCTGTCTGTACAACTTAATGTGAGACATTATGCAGCTTACTAAAGGAAATAAAAAGGTGTAACAAAAAAATGCACGGCAAGGAAGGACAAAGGTTCTAGTGATACGCAGCAGCAGATGGAGACTTCTGTCTAACACAGACCTTTTATTCAAGCCCCCTTCTCCATTAATTAAAGCAGTGGGCAAGTGAAAACAAATATGTCTCAGCATAATTGTCTCTAAATAGACTTTCAGTTTGCCATGTGAGGTCTCACCAAATCTTTAAATGTAAGTGTCCCTATTCAGAAAAATCACTCACAATTCCAACTCTTTTTTTTTTTGCATTGAATATCAGAATAAAACCATTATTTGAAGTAGAACTGACTGCCTTTGGATTCTCCCCCTCCCCCACTCCCCCAAGCTTTATGATTTAGTATCTGGCTAAGGAAAACTATATTTAATTAGGCTCATTAACCTTGCAGTGTGAACACGTCTTTTTTTTTTTTTTTTAAATAAGTCATCTGCTAGTCATCTGCACAGTCATGTGGCTTCAGGGATAAAAGTAATTAAAGCAGTTACACTATAGCTAATTAGCCAATATTCTGTAATCACTCTTCAAGTTTACTTTTTCCTCTGAAGACATTTGAAAAAATCATATTCAAAATCTTAACAGGAAATTCATCTCCTCTCTTTGAAGAACATGAATCCAAAAATACCAAGCATTTCCTCAGAAAACAATAAATAAACCCACTTCATTAGTATAATTACATAAATATCTAAGATACCTAACACATTCCTCGTAAAACAGACTAAGCTTTTCAGAAGCTTTAAAAAAACCGTGTAGATGGCATCCCTTCAGATGGTGAAACAGAAAGCTCAAGAATGCCTGAGGCTGTAGTTTCACAAGCATTTTAAGACAGCACTGTCCCCAAAAGAAGCTGCCTCCCCAACTGGTTATTTCCTCCCCTGTGCCAGAAACAGCATGTGTGCTCCTGCTCTTACCATGAACACATGATAAAATGGGTAAGGGAAGCGATGAAAGCTGTTATTTCTGGAGAAGCGAGTGAAACTGTGTCCTGAACCTTTAGTGGAGAAACGGTGTTCCGCTGGACACAGGCTGACCCCAGCTGGCCATGCATAGCCGAGCAAAGCCACTGAAGAGAGAGAAAAGGCTTCAGGATCAGGTCTTGTTACAGTAATCTTACCATGTAAGCTGTTTAGAGGTTTGGGGGTTATTCAGTTTCTTCAAGACAGAAGCTGTAGTTATTTTTCCCTAGTGACTCTTGCTGTGGACCTGTTTTATTTTCAGATGGGCCCTCCTTACATGAGAGAAGTTCAGCCTCCAAGTCATGAGCATTCAGATACCCAAAGCAGGATACCAAGGCACGAGCCCTGAACTAGAAATCAGCTCTACTATCTTGTGACATTAGTGAAATCACACAATGTTGACGGCGGATCACATGAAATAGATCACGGTATCCTCCAAAGCACCTTGAAAACCGCTGACAAGCCTTTCCTCAGAAAGCGAGCTGCAGAACAACGGGAGCTGGGTTTCCTGGAGGTCCAAGTCCTCTGCTGCTTCCTCTCTTCTTCCCTGGCTCCAGAGACCTCTCCTCAGCCCAATAACCCAGCCGTCCTGTTATGGTCCTTACAACCATGGAGTAAAACAGGATATTGTTACTTGCATAAAGCCCCCCCAAAAAAGATGTAATGAAAAGTCATGTAATTGCTGAAGTGTGCCTGCCTTTCCCTCAACAGAGGGACTAATTTGGTCACTCCACTCAGTGACTTACTTATTTCTGAGACATCTGTCTGTCCTTCAAATTTGATTAAAACTGTCCAGCAGATTCAAAAAGTGTTAGAAAGGAACAGTGAAGAAACAGAGCCACAGTACAGGCTAAAACCAGTTATTAATATATTAGAACAGAATTACGCTGTCTTGAAAAGGGATGCAACGCTTCGTTATCTAAATGCCACTTACCAACAAGCTAGCTCTCACATGTAAATGGCTCAGAAATACCAACTATAATTAAAAATATCAATTGAAACATAATGAATGTATTTCTGGCCCTTCAACTAGAGGGGCCGAGCAACACGGATAGATTTTTTTTTTTTCTTTTAGAATTCAAGAACATACTTTGCAAAACAACTGTAACTAATTAACCATTACTCAGAATACATATGTATATATATTTATATACACACATACATAGAGACACACACAGAGGTAAAAAAACATATAATCATAGAATAATTTGGGTTGGAAGATCTCTGAAGGTCGCTTGTCCAACCTCCTGCGCAAAGCAGGGTCAGCTCTGAGCTCAGACCAGGCTGCTGAGGGCTTTATTCGGTTGGGTTTTGAGACTCCTCAAGGATGAAGACTGCACAGTCTCTCTGGGCAACCTGCCCCACCACCTGACTGTCCTGCATGAAGAAGTTTTTCCTTATATCCAGTATGAACTCTGTCTCAAGACAAGCCTGCTGTCTCGCTTCATCCCATCATGCAATGCTATGAAGAGCCTGGCTCTGCTTTCTTGATACGCTCCCCGTAGGCATGAGCAGGCTCCTGTTAGGACCCCCGAAGCCATTGCTTCCCCAGGTTGAACCAGCCCAGCTCCCTCAGCATCTTCCAGGTCACTGAAAAAAAAACATTAAACGGGATGGGTCCCAGGCTAGACCCCTGTATTACTCTAGTTGGTACCAGCCTCAAAGCAGAGTATGACCTATTGACCATCACCTTCTCAGCCCAACCATCCGACCAGGTTTTTAACCATTTTGGTATCCATCCATCCAAATGTCCCAACTTGGATACGAAATATTGCAAAAGACAATGTCAAAAGCCTTCCTAAAGTTGAAGTAAATGACATCCACTGCTCTCCCTTTGTCAACATATCCAGCCATTTTACTATGGAAAGCAATTAGGTTGGTCAGGTACAATTTACCCTTTCACCAATACAATAAATGATAAAGCTATGTGACTGGCAATCAACTCTGTTAACAGTTGTTTTGCCACATGACCTTGCGTTATCATTCAGGCCATTCCCCCTTCTAATCTCCCTGCTGAGTGGCCTGAAGAGAGATTTGTATCTAGGCACAAGTTCAGGCTCCACACAAACAAGCTGTGTTATCTGCTTCACTTTAAACATCCTACTTGCCATTTTCTGCCTCTACCAAAGGTTACTGAATGTCTTTCTCCACCACTTCTGAAGTTGTTGCATCAAAATTCCATCTGCAGGGAACAGAAAACCTATGTGGCAGATGACTCCCCACAGTTAAACCAAAGGAGTATGCTACTATCTTACACTACAAAACAGATGCTCATTGATGTGTTTCACTATTTTGTTGTGAAGTGGTATTAAAAAGTTGCATCTGATGCTTTTCTAAAACATGACAAAACATGAAGGTTGGACTCGATGATCTTAGAGGTCTTTTCCAACCTTAATGATTCTATGAAGCATATGGTCCATTATACTCCAGCATCCTCGGGAGCAGAGCAAGAGAGGCAGACTCCTTTCAGCCCCTGCAGGCATCGTGGTGAACCCGAGTACCCAAGAATGACTCCGCAAACAGTCCCTGCAGAATGACAAACTTGTAAAATTCCTTATCCACCTTCTTTACACGACTCTCTGATGGCAAATGTATCAGTGTATTAGACTAGTGGCCCTCTGACTAGTTCATGCAAATCTGTCTTTTTATCTGTGTTACATGTGCGTGTTCTTTAGTCCAAGTAAACACCTTGTTCTTCTACTAAGGAACAGTGATAACAGGAAAGAAAGAAAGGATAAATTAAGGGCTTTTACAAAAACGTATTTATTTTACCAAAAAAAAAGTCACATGGGAAAGCACTATATGCCACGATTTGAGAAGAGTTTGGCTTGTCATTGATAAACAAATAGATGCTCTCTAATGGCAGCATCAGATATTTGCTGCTTAAATAATGATGTTAGGTAGCAAGTACAGAAATAGCAGACACAGAGAAAAGGACTCAAATTTTTATTTTTAAGTAAAAAATAATTTTACCACTAGGTGTCCCTGTTACAAAACTATAATCCTACGGAACGCTCTGTGAGATACAGGGCAAATCATTTGAATTACTGTTAAAACTGCTGGCACAAGCTGGCAAAACCTTCAAAAGCCAAAGTCACAGCAGCAGTGTGTATTGTTAGCAACCATAGTGATAAAGGCAAGGGTTTAACATGTCCTTTTTGAGTACTGCTAGCAGCTAAGATACAGCACTAAGTAAGATACAGCAACTTACTTAAATACAGCACTTAATGTATTTCAGATGCGTATTTAGTGGGAGAGTGAATGGCAGGGAGATTCAGTTCTCCCTTTAAAGCAGCCAGCACAAGGCAGCTGTTAGAAACAGCCACAGCGAGTGTGCTGCCACTTAACACAAAGGCGGTCGTGGCCATGCTGTTCCCCTACTATGCCTGTCCTGCACATCTAACCCAGCTCATTTTGACCGCAACTGATTTAAACGAAGATCACTGGAAAGGGATGGCAACAAGTACCTGCAGATAAGCTGAGGGCAGTGGCCTTTCCAGGTAAATCAGTTGCAGCTGGAAGAGGCAACATGGTGCAGCCCTGAAGACATCCATCCCTCTGTGCTCTCCGTTAATAATCTTGAGCATTAGTTGACTCTGCCTCTTGGGCAAGGGAGGACTACTTACAGGAGAAAAGAGAGTTACAGAAAATATTTGGAACATACTCAAAGATTATTTTAGTGGGTGGAAAAAAACCCCCAACGATTACATTGTGCTGGTCAGCTGCACGTTGAATACTTTTCCCTTGACTATGGTTGTACGGCAAGATCCAGCCAAATATTAGTGAGGTCGCCCGTCTCTTCCAGTAATTTCCCACTCGGCAGCACGGTCTTCCTTACGTGTACGCCTGTCTGTTGGAGGATGACTGATAAGAACTGAACTGACCTCACATTCAAGTTTCTGGACTCCTCACACATACCGACAATTAATTGTAAGATTAAATTTACAGGAAGAAAAAGCACAACGTGCACCTAGTTTAAAGTAACTGGAGTGCATTTGGAAACTTCCATGCTAACTTTTTTCCTAACAGACGCTGAAGTTTTGCCACTACGTTATTAATGTTTGTTTCAGCAAAAAGATGCTGTTCAGATGGCTACAGTTGAAACTCACCTGTCCTTGCAAACAGCCCCCGAATAAGCACATCAGAGAGCAACTCGACAGCTCACTTTTAGGAGTTACAACATGCCAATGACTTCGGTGAATGAAAACAGTCAACTCTCGGTTGTCCACAGGCTAATCATTTAAACTGCATGCTAGCTCTAATGCCTGCTAGTAAAAATGCCTGTGCTTGAGCTAGAGAGAGTAGCATAGCCACGTGACACCGTGCAGCACGGCCTCCTGAACTCTGCTCCTGCTAACTTTGAGATCTCCCCCTTCCACGCCAGCTGTCCTTTGCATCCTTCCATGATGCCACCCCTGTATCTCCTCCAGTTAATTGTCCATCTACTCATATTGAACAAATTATCATACCTTAAAGGCAGACTGTAGGAAGGCTAATCACCTTAATTCATTCCACCACTGCAGTTGGGTTTTGCTGGGTGGAGAAGTCAGAAAGCTGTAGCCCTTTCTCCTTCCCCACCCCCAGCAATCAGCAGAAGAGGAGCTCCAGATGGGAAATGGCAGAGAAATCCTTTCTTGGCTGCTCTCTGCCTTACCTGAGGCACAGCCACCTTTCGGGCCTGGAGACCACCTGCAAACACCTGGAAAATCCTTATCAGTCTTCAGAGAGCAAGCAACAAGAACGATAAGGAGAGGTAAAGTCCCGAGTCTGCAAATCAGAATCCAACTCATAAAAAGTGTTTTGAACCTCTTGAGGAGAAAGGAGGGAGGGAGGTTTATTCGGTGAGAACCAGAAGGGTGCGCGGGAGGGGACCAGGCCCAGCTTTGTGACAGGACTAGGGCCGCCGAGTCCCGCAGCACCGGCTGTCCTACAACCCGGCGTCCTGCTCGGAGCCTCTCAAGCCGAGGCTGTACGTGATGGGCAAACCTCAACTTCTGTTCAACCTGGAGTACCAAAAGGAAAATAAGCCTCCTACAAGCCCCCCGGTTATATGTCGCGAGTATATGTTAAAGGATCTAAAGGAATCGTAAGTCTATTTCTATTTTGGCTTTTCAGAAAAACAAGGTTTTGCAGCAGCCTGGCTCGTACACGCAGAGGTGGGTCAGCCGGGGGGGGGAAACCGGCCCCACA